GGCGGGGTGACTCACGCCGCCTCTCCCGCGGCCGCGGGGGCCTGGAGTGGTCCGCTCACACTCTGCATCGCCCAGACCCGACTGGAATCTTCCCGCGCGGCCCGGCCGCGCCCGGTCCCGAGAGGTGAGTAGCGGTCCCCGCCGCGGTCACCAGGCGTCCGGGAGGGCACGCAGGATGCTGGGGCGCTGAGCTGGCTGTCAGGCACCCAGCGGCGGGCCAGGGTCGGAGGTCAAGACCTGAAACCCAGATTCTGGGCTAGCAGGTGGGACCCATTGTCTGGATGCTAAGCGTCCTCAGCGAGGTGAACCCGCAAGGGGTGAGCACTCCTACAAGGACCCGAGGCCCTGGAGGGGACTGATGGTCATCTGAGGTTGGGCTGGCAGGAGGCGGCTAGGACTGGGACTAAGGAGTCTGAGAAGGAGGGTGTCTGACTTAGGGATGCAGACTTCCGGGCAGGAGGCGGGGTCAGGCCCAAGATTCGGGAGTCTGGGCTGGAGGGGTCTGACTCAGGAATCCAGGCTTCCAGCAGGGGGTGTCTGATCCAAAGACCTAGAGGTGTAGGCAGAAAGAAGGGTCTGGCCGGGGACAGAAGTCTGGGTGGGTATGTTTGGGGGTGGGGCTGAGTTCCCAGGTGTTGTTACCCCAGGAGTGCAGGGTGGGGGCTGGCGGGAGCTTCACGCGCGCACTCCCTGGGGGCGGGGCCTGGGGCTGGCCTTTCTGAGAATCCTGAGGGGTCTGGCAAGCCTCAGAAACTGAGCGTCATTCTCCCTGAGGGGGAGGGAGCAGAGCGGCCCTCAGTCTTGAGATGTGCGCCCCTCTCGCCACCCCCACCCCCCAGCCCCCAGTCCTGGACTTTCGCAGCATCTCCCGGATTTTACAAGTCTCCATTCAAGGTAGTCCTTCATCTGGTTCTCCTCTGGTCACACACGTGGGAGGAAGAGGCCTGAAGGACCCAGGGAGTTGGAAGGGAGATGAAGAGACCTAGGACTGGGATTCCCAGAAAAGGAGACCTGAGGGCATGGGAGAGGAATAAAATATCCTGGAAGGAATCCTGGGGCATGTGTAGGGGGACAAGACATTGGGACCCAGCTAGGTATCCTGAGGAGAGACTCCCACCAAGTATCTGGAGAGGCACCTCAGCTCCTGCAGACCCCTCTACCCAGAGCCTAACCCTGCCAACTTCTCACAGAGCCTTTCTCCTACAGGTACCAAGATGTGGGGTGCAGGCAGCCCCCTGGCCTGGCTCTCTGCAGGCCCAGGCAACTTGAACGTGAGCAGCGTGGGCTCAGCAGAGGGGCCCACAGGCCCAGCTGCACCGTTGCCCTCACCCAGGGCTTGGGATGTGGTGCTGTGCATCTCAGGCACACTGGTGTCCTGCGAGAACGCGCTGGTGGTGGCCATCATTGTGGGCACTCCTGCCTTCCGTGCCCCCATGTTCCTGCTAGTGGGCAGCCTTGCCATTGCAGACCTGCTGGCAGGCCTGGGCCTAGTCCTGCACTTTGCTGCTGTCTTCTGCATTGGCTCAGCGGAAATGAGCCTGGTGCTGGTTGGCGTCCTGGCAATGGCCTTTACTGCCAGCATCGGCAGCCTACTGGCCATCACTGTAGATCGCTACCTTTCTCTGTACAATGCCCTCACCTACTATTCAGAGACAACGGTGACTCGGACTTATGTGATGCTGGCCCTGGTGTGGGGGGGTGCGCTCGGCATAGGGCTGCTGCCTGTGCTGGCTTGGAACTGCTTGGACGCCCCGACCACGTGCGGCGTGGTATATCCACTCTCCAAGAACCATCTGGTGGTCCTGGCTGTTGCCTTCTTCATGGTGTTTGGCATCATGCTGCAGCTCTATGCCCAGATCTGCCGCATCGTCTGCCGCCATGCCCAGCAGATTGCCCTCCAGCGGCACCTGCTGCCTGCCTCCCACTACGTGGCCACCCGCAAGGGCATTGCCACACTGGCTGTGGTGCTTGGCGCCTTTGCCGCCTGCTGGCTGCCCTTCACCGTCTACTGCCTGCTGGGCGATGCCCACTCCCCATCTCTCTACACCTATCTCACTCTGCTCCCTGCCACCTACAACTCCATGATCAACCCCATCATCTACGCCTTCCGCAACCAGGATGTGCAGAAGGTGCTGTGGGCCATCTGCTGCTGCTGTTCCTCTTCCAAGATCCCCTTCCGATCCCGTTCTCCCAGTGATGTCTAGTTGTGTACTGGTGACCCTTCAACCCTGACCACTGCAGAATTCCAGAATGTTAGATCCTCCAGGGTTTTGTTCCAACCCCCAGCTCCACACCCCGAAGACCCAGCTGGTTCTGGAGTTCTAGGACATTGGGTGTTTCACAGGATTCTGTTCAGATCCCTGCAGAGCCCAGCTGGCTCCAGGATTCTAGAATGTTCAGATGGTCAGGGTTCCACTCAGAAATGTCCCACAGCCCAGCTGGCTTGGAGTTCCAGAATGCTGCTGGGTGTTTTACAGTGCCATTCCAAGTCCCTGGGCTTCCCCCTCCCTTGACCTTGTCACTTTGAGTTTCTGAGCTAGAGTTAGAGATGTTAGCCACTCTCTTGCCTAGATAGGAGAAAAAGATTTATCTATATATATGTGTGCACATATGAAGAGAATATTATTTATTTATTTATGAATTTATTTATAAGTATAAGGGGGAAAAAGAGACCAATACCTTGAAATCCAGACCATACCAGGGTACTCCCAGTCCCCACACCCCCATTTCTGACCTCAGTTCCTGGGG